CCAGAGGGCTGCCCAAACAGACTGGGGTTAGAGAGTTTGAGCGCTATTGTTTTAGGTGGTTTATAAAAAATAGTCCTGAAAAAAGGAAAGAAGGAAGGAACAAAGGAAAGAAGCAAAGAAAGAAAAAAAAAGCAAAGAGGCAAAGAAGGGAAAGAAAGGAAAGAAAGGAAAGAAAGGAAAGAAAGGAAAGAAACGAAAGAAACGAAAGAAAGGAAAAAAAGGAAAGAAAGGAAAGAAAGGAAAGAAAGGAAAGAAAGGAAAGAAAGGACATCAAAAAGGCAAGAAGGCAAGAAGGAAAGGAGGAAAGATGGAAAGATGGAAAGAAGGAAAGAACACGAAAAATGCGAATGAACGAAAGAAGGACAGAAAGAACGAATGAACGAACGCAAGAACGAGTGAAGGAAGAAACGACAGAAGGAACAAAAAAAAACAAATAAAGAACGAAATAAAGAACGAAAGAAAGAAATAATCAAAGAAACAAAGGGAGAACGAAAGAAAGAAAGAACGAACGAACGAAAGAACACAAAAAAGAAAGAGCGAGCGAACGATAGAAAGAACGAACGAAAGAAAGAAAAAGAGAGAGAGAGAGAGAGAGGCACAGAGAGAGAGAGAGAGGCACAGACAGAGAGAGAGAGAGAGAGAGGCACAGACAGAGCCAGCCAGAAAGAGAGAGAGAGAGAGAGATAGAGAGACATAGAGAGACATAGAGAGACATGAAGGACATAGAGAGACGAGACAGGGGGTGAAGAGAGGAGAGAGGAGAGGAGCGAGGAGAGGGGAGAGAGCGAGAGAGAGAGAGAAAGAAAGAGACAGAAAGAAAGAAAAAGGAAGAAAAAGAAAGAAAAAGAAAGAAAGAAAAAGAAAGAAAAAGAAAGAAAAAAAAAGAAAAGAAAAGAAAAGAAAGAAACTAACAAACAAACAAACAAAGAAAGAAAGAAAAGAAAAGAAAAGAGAAGACAAGAAAAGAAAAGAAAGGAAAAGAAAAGAAAAGAAAGAAACAAACAAACAAAGAAATAAAGAAAGAAAGAAAGAGAGAGAGAGAGAGAAAGAGAGAAAGAAAGAGAGAAAGACAGAAAGAGAAAAAGAGAGAAAGAGAGAAAGACAGAAAGAGAGAAAGAGAGAAAGACACAAAGAGAGAAAGACACAAAGAGAGAAAGACGCAAAGAGAGAAAGACACAAAGAGAGAAAGACACAAAGAGAGAAAGACACAAAGAGAGAAAGACACAAAGAGAGAAAGACACAAAGAGAGAGAGAGAGAGAAAGAGAGAAAGAGAGACAGAGACAGAGAGAGAGGGAGACAGAGAGAGAGGGTGACAGAGAGAGAGGGAGGCATACTGAGGGAGGCATACTGAGGGAGGCAGTGAGATGGGCAGGTATTTAGACAAGTATAGATGAAGATACAAAGACGTTAGCAAACACTATGCATGTTCCACCATAATCTAAAACTATGGGTTTCTGCTGTATGTATATATATATATATTTGTAAATATACATATATACACGCATATAGATCGTCCAGTTGACTTTTGTCCTCGGAATGTCATTACCAGGATTCTGACCTTGGAAAATATACGACCTATGTCCTTTGAAAAATAACATATTATATATTTGCAGTCCAGGACTTATGTCCTTGGAATATGAATACCATGACATCTGTCCTCGGAAATTATATATAGAAAATTATATATAGACATGTAGACATATGACATATATATATATATACCTACAGTGTCAGCCGATCAGGGAGGGTGGCAGAAGGAAACAAACAGTAACCAGACTGCTGAAGAAGCAGCTAGTCCTGAACAAGGACATGTTTCTTTCGCTCTGGGTCTGTGGTTGCTGGCTTCCTTTGGCAACTTGCAGCTGGCACAGCAAGCGTGGGACCTTTCAGGATGTCCAGGAAGCATCTGGTGTTCAGAAGACAAGCAAAGAAGAAGGGAAAATATGGATCCAACCATAATGGGGGTATCACAGGGACATATAAGGGGATATATAATCAACAATCCACGAAACTTGTTGGGTGTCACTGAACATGCCGGATTTACTATCACATACTCATAAAATTGTTGCTTCACAGAAAAAACATGATACACTGGTCCTAGGGATGCCCTATTTGCAGGCACATTGGAAACCTATTCCATGCCATTTTTCACCACACCACATTCCCACTATTGAAGCCAATTTCTTGGTTACTGTAACGTAGCTTCTGGACCCAGTAGCTTTGCAAAAACTCATTCTTTTAAATATGTTCACAATGTTGTAGCTCCTGGTTTTCAGAAGCCATCCATAATCCATAAATTCATTCCAACAAAAATGCTTGCAATAGAAAAGCTCCTGTGGTCCCGGGCTATTGTCAAGTAGTCAATTTTCAAGAGAAAAGTTGCAGAAGGTGCCCGTGGTGCTGGGGACACTGACGACTGGGCAATGACCTGGATTCATGAGAAGAAGCGTTCAAGGCCAGCATAAGTTTTCAACATTGTGACATTGGCCGCTGTCACAGTCACTCACTGACTGTCTGAGTCAGTAAATGTCTAACTAATGATGAAAATACCGAACAATTTTGACATTGACTCAGTGAGTGACTCAACCAGTGGCAGGGCAGCGACGGGCGAGGTCATTGTCTGACAGTCAGTGAGAGCCTCCAGGTGTCCAACTATTGAAACTGACATTTTAGTATTGAATTTATTTTTCGCCTGCTGTCACTGTCACACAGCGATTGCTGTTGCTTATTCCATGAATATAATTCAAGTGGAGTTACCACCAAACGACGCTGGGCTATAACTTCTCCGGTTGTCTGCGGACAGTTCCTGACTGGTTCTATTTCATTTTCTCAACTCAGCTGATTTGTCCAGTGTAAATTCACTAGTAGCTGTAGGTTTAAATGCGGGGACTGTCGTTTGCTGTAGTTAGTCCGTGCGGTGATTTGCCAATTGGATTTTTTATTTTAGTGATAGCAGTGATTTACCAGATGTACAGCAGCAGTCAGTGACAGAACTGTAAGTTTATCGCTCTGCAGACAGTGTGATGATGTGCCCTTTGATGGCAGTAATTCACCAGATGTACAGCAGCAGTCAGTCACAGAACTGTAAATTTATCGCTCTACAGACAATGTGATGATGTGCCCTTTGATGGCAGTGATTCACCAGATGTACAGCAGCAGTCAGTCACAGAACTGTAAATCTATTGCTGCATGGACAGCGTGGTGGTTTGCCCTTTGATGACAGTGATTCATCTGAAGAACAACTTACTTGTGACCTGGATTGATTGATGCTGATCATGTAGAGGTGGTAGTGCGGTCCCCATTCGTTACCATTGATTTTGACTGCTGGCAAGGCTCCCATTCAGATATGATTGAGACGTAGTGAAGTCTTCTTTCAATACGCCAAAATGAAAATAAGGACAGGAAGCTTGTGAGCTGCTTCATTGCATGGCACAAAGGCCTTTCCCCGTGGATGTTTTAGCATTGACTTAGGACTTTTTTTTGTTCTGGCTTAGTAGGTCAGGTAGTCAATCATTTAAATTCACCAAGACTAATTTTCCACAAACCCCACTTAACCCAATATTACTTATATATTAACTAAGTAGTTGGTGGCAGTCAGTCAGGAGCCAGATCAATATGATTATGATAATCAATGTAATTGGTTCAAGGAACATGACCATGACCCCGCAGGAAGGCCTTGAATATCATTGGGGTTCAGACAGTTTCAAGCACCATTATGCATTCTAACAGTCCCGACTTTTCTTTTACGTCTATTTGCAAGTTGCTCGGCACATTTTTTCATGTCAGTTAATTTGGACCATCAAAGCTTGTTCAATAATGCTGACTGCTGCTTTAACAATACAATTTTTATTGAATACCCGATTGCATTGCCAGGGTCATGATTCTCACGGCGTGCCTGGCTGGAGGAAGCATAGGTTTGAACTTTGTTATTTATATATTTACTTTTACTATGGTGTCAGTCCAATAAGATTGAACACTGTGTGTACTTGTTTATTTCTTACTCTGTCAGTGAGACATAGGGAGGCTGTCACACTTGTAACACTGCACAGTAATGGTCTTGATAAGATTCATGTTTCCAGTTGCAGTCTATTTTTGCTCAGCCAGACTCAGACTGAGTAGGCTTAGGCTGAGGTCACTGTCCGCCTCTTCTTGCTTTCATGGGTATTATTTAGCCAGTCGACTAATGTAGACAACTGAAATTTACACAGTGGGGTAGAATGGTCGTGAAGATGACGATGATCAAAGTCTATAAGTCTATGACAGTACAGCGAACTAATGGCTTAACAAATTATTAGTGTAACTACAGCGACAGGTGAAATCTCTGAAATCTAGTTTCTGGTTGATTCCTGTGACAAGCAGGAAAGCGCGGACTATCACCGCAAGTCTATTATCACTCTGGATTCAAGGACCTTTTGAAATACACCATTTATGCCGCACTCCAGGAAACATTTTGCATGAGGATCTTTTTCATTCGGCCATCCGGGCTTTCATCGTCGTCATCATCGTCATCACCACTGGAGCTCGGAACCTCTCCCCCTGATTCTAGCAATTTGCAAGAAAGACAGCATACAGATTTTTTCCGTGCTGTCACAGATTCATTCTCAACTTTTGGCAACTGCGGAAGGCCTGAGGCTTGTGTCCCCACTCATCCACCTCTGCTTTTGTCGGCGGAGTTGCGACGGCCATGATGTGTTGGCCCATTTTGAAGCAAACTTTGTCAGACAAAGTTCGTCTTTCACCTGCTGAATGGACATATCTCGTCAACTGGACCGTTTGCGTTTCAATGGAAGGCTCACGCCCTGCCCGCTCCACTGTGTCCAAGGGGAGAGAAACAATGTGACGGGCAAGATGTTGTCCATTCAGAAGACTCACGCTCCCGACCGAAGAAGTATTCTGATGCTCCATGATGGCTAAGCCCAATCAAATACGTTTTTTTTCAGAAATTGGCATTTTGGCCAAGGAGTTGCGAAACATAGTTTGGCAAATGAATTAGATATGCAGTATGTACTTGGCAAATTTGGATGAGACAGAATCTCAGAATGAAGAAGAATAAAAATGCGTGTGGCTGCTCAGCTTGCCAATGACTGAATCTGAGACTGTCTGATGGCTGAGTCAGTGATGACCACACACTGATTCACTGACTCAGTTTTTTTTGGCCACCAGCCAGGTATAGCACCCACAAAGCTGACCGTCAGTCTGTGACACTGTGTCCCAATGATTTCAAATGCTTCAGATATTCTACGTTACAACGAGGAATTCATTAATTAATTATCAGGTTAGCAGCCAGTCAGAGTCAGGACTGCTGTCGTCACGATTTTAATTTAATGTTTCAATGACTGTGACATGATTGTCCTAGGTGACATGATTGTTTTAGTTCCCGTCGGTGTGATATGCCTGATGATGATGATGGCGCGTGAGGATAAATACTGCGATGATGTAATGCGATGAACATGACTCGACACTGTGGGGTGGTACATCATGATGATGTAATGATAAAGATCATTCATGACTGCTGGTTTTTGTTGGCATCCACAGACAAGCATTCAGTCAGTGGCACATCTAATTTCACATGTCCTATTTATTCATCTGATGCTTGTGCACTTTGCAGCAACTTTTGGGTCTTGAATACTACTGTGGTAGTTTTGTCCTTGGGCTTTGCGCTACAGCCACGTCAAGTCTACCACATGTCGCACTATCGATCAACTTGCAGACCTGGAACTTGTCAGTTGTGACAAATTATGTTTGAGTTGTTGTCTCGGTCCAACGCAGAAGTGGCTTCCCAGGATGCTTGGCTTGACAAGGGGTGAAAGAGCTGCTACTGCTATTCCACCACCACCCACATCCTCCGCCTACACCGGCAGAACTTGAAAGGGCTAATCGTGGTAGAACTCTAGAGAGGGCAGAAACATTTCCAGCCGCCCGCGCTGCAGGTGAAGATACAGTTGACAAGTCTCCGGCAGCTTCTGCACCCGCAGCCTCGAAACCTGTGAGCCGTTCCAGATCGCGAGTCCCTGCAGTCTTGACCCCAAGGGCAGACGGTAGCTTCGCCGACCAGGACACTGAGTTTTTGAGGAGAGCTCGAGGGGGTAACTTAAGTAGTCCCAACCTTAGTTCACGCCCACTAGTGTTAAGACCCGCCGATTCTATCCGATTCTAAATATCCCCCAGTGGTGATTAATTCAGAAGGCACCCGGGTCAGGGTATCGAAACCGCCCGGCACTACTGGCCGAGAGCCTGCGACGATTTTCGTCGCAGTTGCTGGTGAGGCCGCTGCATCTGGGGACCCCCACGAACTACCAGACGAACTCTGGAGGGATCCATCCCTAGTAGGCAGTAATACTACAGTGGCAACTTCTCGCAGAACCCAGGTTCTTCTCATTTCAGAGCCTGAGGGGCTACATCCGGTAGTCGACAACTCAGAACTTGAATAAGAGGAAGAAGAAGATAGAGCTAGCGCGCCGCCTCCCAAAAGAAGGGCCATCGTCACCACTACTTCTACGGGCCGCAGACAAGTATACCAAATTAGACGACGTAGCTCATCTCCTCAACGAGCCTTGACCGAAGCTGCACCAGGTGATCCCCCATCTGATCCCGAAGAGCCAGAGGCACCTGACGAAGATCCAACTGATCCAGGTGAACCCGAGGAAGAGAAGGAGGAGGAGGAGGAATCATCTGAAGCTCCAGAAGCCTCGCCCGAGGGCGACGACATCGAGGTAGTTGAGGAAGAGGCTGCTCCATCAGCGCCTCACGCGTCAAGCCCAGTCTTAGAGCCAACATCGAAAGTAGCGTGAGTAGATTTTTGTCTCCAAGTTCAAAAGCTGAGGCCGACCGCTCAAGATCTCGTCATAGGGACACTGCAGTTGAAGAAGACACACCCGTTGCTGTGACCACTTCTTCTCCACGGGCATCGGGGTATACAATCCAGACACAAATTTTTCGGGACGGCACCAGAGCCGAAGTCTTTGTTCCTGATGTTGACAACCGTTCAATGCAATATTAATCACATTGGGTTAAGCAAAGAAAGGATAGACCTGGGTGACGAAAATCAATGTTCCCAACTTGATTACCAAATAGGTGAAGCCGCCAAGGTTGCACCACCCCATCTTTGGTCGTCCATACCATGCACATCTGGTTCTCCCTGGCAGTACATCAATAGAAAGAAGGGAGGAGCTGCTTATATATTAGCGCTCCAACTTCGAGAATCGAAAAGACTCTTCAAAAGCTTTAGTAAACGGGCTGAATTAGTTTTGAAGCTAGGAGGCACTGTTTCTTTTGAATGGCCGCGTCCCTCGACTGGCTGGAAGAGACCAGATGTCGTAGCTTTCTTCGATTCACACCCGGAGTTTATGGAGGTCGAATTCGATGGATGCGCAGTGGGCTTGAGATCCAAAAAGGGTGTTCCCATCAAAAAGCCCTGGCGTGTAAAAACTACATCCCAAAGAGTGGTAGACGTTTTCAAAGATAAAAGGTGTAGTTGTGAGCAACCGCATGAAAAGTGTGAAGGTTCGGAAACGGCGCGATCAGCTATGTATCCCTCAGAGATGGCATTTTTGATTACCCAAGCGCTGTACCCTGCTAAGTGCGCACAACAGCATGCTCCCGTCATGCCATGTACACCCCTTTCAACTGAACCCCAAGAGCATCGCGAAGTTGAACAACATCTTAAACACGTTTCCCCACTAGCTGGTTTTAAGGATCTAGCAGTTGCCGTTGAAACAGATCCAACAGTGAACGGTTTAGTGGCAGACCTCCTTGGCCATGAACGTTTGTTGCCACAGGCTTTCGGGCACGAAGATAGCACTCAACCCTCCCAGGAGGTTCAAGCCATGGTGACCAAGTTGCTCTCTAGAGCGGAGATGTTGTCAAACCCACTTGCCCTTGAAGCAGACAAAGCTGAAGCTGATGGGCTTATCAAGGCAGGGACGTGGTCGCTCGACTCGGTCCGCGAGAAGGAGGACGTTCGTGCAGAGGCAAAGCGCACCGGGGTCTCTGTCCACTTCGGACAGTTGATGACCATCGCTTCCATCAAGTTCTACGAACTCGCACAACGTCTACAAAAGATGAAAGGTAGAATTGTCTACCGTGGTGATTGTGCGAAGGATGAGCACGGTGCAGCGGCTGTGTATCAGGAACTAGGAGCGAATCCCACTTCGGTTCGGGGTTTAAATGCCTGTTTAGCATACGGTTCCTTGCGAGGCAATAGCTCTTCCACAGCAGATGCTGTCAAAGCGTATGTTCAAGCACTCCTGTCTTCTAAATATAAGACATGGATAGAACTTCCGCCAGAGCTAAGGCCAAAACATTGGCGAGATAAGTTTGTTAAACCCGTAGTCCTCTTAGTTAAAGCCTTGTACGGCCATCCTGATGCCGGTGGTCTCTGGGAGCAACACCTTAAGAAAATTATCCGTAGCCTAGGAGGTCAGGAAGTCCCAGAATATCCAGGTAACTTTTTTTCCCCCAACACCAAGTTGTTACTTTCCACATATGTGGATGACCTCACATTAGCTGGACCCTCCGACCAACATGAAGCCTTTTGGGCGAAGCTAACATCGGTTGTGGATATTGAACCACCTGAACCAATATACCGAATTTTGGGTCGCAATCATCTAGTAATGCAATTGTCCAAAACTGAAGGTTCCGAGGAATGTGCTGCGTTTCGTGCACAAGAAGCCTTAGTCATTGACATGCTAGCTGCTAGATTATGCGCACCAAACGGTTGACCTATATAAGTCCATCACCAATACCAAAAGTTTGAAGCATGCCGCCACTCCTTTTGTACCTGATGGTTCTGTCTCTGTTGGAAATGAAGAGGCTAAAGGTGAACTGGCACCCAATGCATGCCGCATCCTTATGAAAGGCGTTGTGGCTTGGTCGACTGTCCAGACCTCACATAATTAAGCCCGTCAACGATTTAGCCACTTCACTAAAGTACAGTCTTGGATACCAATACCGGCTTGTAGGTACCATCAAGGATAATCCCGAAGATCTCGAATTACATTTATACGTTGATGCCGATTTCGCCGGTGATCGTCTAAGCGGAAAATCCACATCCGGTGGGTATTTAGTTCTTTATGGGCCTAACTCCTTCTTCCCTCTTGCGTGGGTCAGTAAATGCCAAACTTCCACATCACGTTCTACCACAAAGAAGTGGTATCTTTGGCGTATTCCCTTTACCAAGAAGGCTTGCCAGCCCTCCAACTATGGGAGCTTCTCCTTGGGCGCACGGTGACCCTCCGAGTCTTGGAAGATAACCAAGCTACTATACTAGTAGTTCGAAAAGGTTACTCCCCAAAACTTAGACATATCACTCGCACCCATAAAGTAAACTTGTCTGGCCTCTCAGAGGTGTTTCGAGACGACTCGGCCGAGCTTGAGTACTGCCAAACAGACAGCCAAGCCGCAGACATCTTTACCAAGACGTTGCCTCCCCAAAAGTGGGCTCCAGCACTCCGCTTGTTGGGCATCCGAACCGATCTAAGTAGCGAACTTCGACCCAAGGAAGGGGCCGCGTCCTCGCGCCCTAAGTAGCCTTGTAGCTAAACTTTCCAGAGTAGCCCTGGGTAGGGGGGAGTAGAAATATTACGACCCCATTACCTCCACTGTATAGTCTAGTTGTAGTTCACTACATATCGTAGCTATTAGACCAACCATCCAAGTAGTTGTACAGTCCTCACAACTCCTATTTAATATCCCCATAAGCTAAATGCACAGCTTTTTGGGGTAGTAGTATTCATGCTTATTTACGGGTCATTACCGCTTAATGACGTATGGCTCAAGCGCTCAAGTCAAAAGAGCGTTTGCTGATTGTTGATGTTAGGGAGTTCAACTTGTTGGTTTTCCTGTTGTTCCCCTTTTTCTCTATATTGCATCCTATTAAGTAGTCCTAAATATGTTTTTTTAGGTAATTTGGTCTTGCGACTGCTACGGCACCATCTCAATGAACCGTGCGTTTTACACATTTTTTTTTGCCTATGAGACGAGATGCCTCAAAAAAGTTGGTTTGGTTCAGCTTGTCGGCAGTGCAGCACATCCACAGTACCAGTTTGATTACATTGATTACATGTCGAAATAGACACTCACTGTTTTGCCCATACATTCACACAGAAACATTCTGATCATCCTGCTCATAACCCGGCCATCTCCCACACCATGGGTGCAAACCCGTACTTGGAGTTCAGCATTTAGTTGAACCATCTGAGGATTAGATGATGATGACGATGATCATATGCTGCCTTCGGTGCTACCAGTGTTGACGGAGGACGAGGATCCCAACACCGGCACTGGCGCAGCTAGCAGTACAGATCTCCCAATGCCGCAGGGCGATGCCGAGAACCAGGATGGCCTCGATGGCCTCGATGGCCCGTTAGATGGCGGCCAGGGTGGCCAGGGTGGCCAGGGTGGCCAGGATCTTAATCTCTTCACAGCCTGGGTCTGTCAACAGCCGCAGACTCCAGCCCGCGTGGCTGAGGCTGTGTAAATTCTGTGAATTTAGTCGAACTGCTGACCTCCACCAGACGGGAGGGAAAAAAAATTGTGCTTGGAGGTTCTATCACGTCCCAGCGAAACCTAAAATGATCCAAATGCGTCTTGATTTTGGGGGATGCTAAAGCGAAAGTCATGGTCCCCGAGCGTTTTTAAGTTGGATTTTCCACATCAATCCAATACATTCCTGGTGGCAGATGTGTTGGTTGCGCAGTTTGATGGGTGACCCTGTCTTTACCTGACAATCCTGACAGCCAAGTGAGCCAAGTGAGGTTGGGACTCCATGTTTGAATTCTTGGTTGTGCATGGTGTGGTGACCCGGCCGTGTTTACACAACAATCATTGAACCACCAACAGCAGAACAAGGTGGTTTGCTGTTTTGGGACCGTGGCAGCGAGGCAAATGGGGTAGATTGAGTTGCACAATGAAAGCCCAATTCCACATGGCAAAAAGTCTGTCGTCCTTGCCGACTTACATCTGAAGATTGGACAGGTTGCACTGTCGTTGTTTTTTGACCATAAGGTTGTTTTCCACCAAGCTGCACCCGCGCACCAGGGAGACGTCCAGATCTACACGGGCGACCAAGAGGGGGACCTGTTTAGGGTGAGAATGCAGGCACGGCGCATAACGGCATAACGGCAACGGCATTCCATCGGCATTCCATCGGCATTCCATCGACATCCACAGGTGTCACATTCGACGTGCCTGAACGACTGGGACAAGGCTGGCGGTACGGAATGGATATAAAGTTGGTCTGAGGGAAAAAAATGCGATTTTAGCATCCACAGTTGGGATTTGATATGATTTCACCATCAACACTCGGGTGTTCATTGGAGAAGGGTGTCCTTGTAGGGTGGAGATCAGTGGGTCACATACGTTCACCCCCATGCGGGGGATGGGGGGGTTGCCGGCCGCAGCTTTGGAGTTGGGCCATCCACAGTTTGAATATTTACATCATTTTACATCTACTCCGGGATCATGACATACCTGACATACCTAGTATGCTGTTCCCATGTGTCTTGTGACTTCTTGTGTAAGCAGGAAACAGAATGGACCGTCATGGAGCATGTATTACATATGTAAGGCACGCAGATTTATGAATGATTTATGTGCACAATTATTCAACCTATACCAGATTACATATATGTATGCTCCATACTTCGAAGAGTCCCTAGTGTTTGTTGGAGCTGGCGAACCACCTCAGGGATGGCATCTCCAAGTCTTTCCATGGGGATTTACATGGGAATTACTCTGGTTTTCTGAGAGTTTATAGGGTTTTTCCTGGTTTTTCTGAACTCAGAGACTCCAATTGTTTATCCAAGGTTGGTCAATTTCAATTCGAAGATGGTGTTTTGTCTTGTTTGCTGCCCACGAGATCATCGCAACTGGAGTCAAATTGGTTGTGCAAATTCTGCGAGGTACCTAAAAGGAACTTGCTCTCGGCTAGATTCTTGTAATTTCTTGTATCTAAAGGCGGCTTCTGAGCATTCGATTCTTCAAGCTTTTGGGTGTGACCCAAAAGGCCCAAGATGGCCCTGGGGAGCCTCCCCTGAGCTATTTTTTTCAAAAACGCAGTTGGGAAGTAGGTTCAATCAAGTTTTTTTTAGCTACCAGAAATGCCATGGCATTTCGTGAATTTGGTGGACCCTGCCATTATGTTCTGAGTGGAAAGTTTGAACGGGTCTGCCAGTCTGGCAGTACGAGAGTCAAATCTTGGTGAGCCAAACTGAACATACCAACTTTCCCAGAAAATATATATCTCAAATCAGTCCATTGATTTTAGATCCATTGCTTTGCAAACAGATTCCTGACGAGGGCATCTTTCAGTGATCGGTGATTGTGTTAAGCTGGTAAATTGGCAACTCGATGCTTTCCATCTTCGATGCTGTAAATTATGGCACGATCTGTCTTTGGAGCTGGGTCTGTGAGCTTGTCCCGGGTCCGAAACTCATCCTTGGCACCATACCAGCCTTCAAATGAATTCAAATGACGTTTTCATTTTTGGGTGTTTGTGAGTTTGCTCTTTTCACCTAAATGTTCAGACAAATCCATACGATTGTGGGTGGCCTGTGGCTTTCCAAAATGAAATTTGCTGTGAGAGATTGTAGAAATATGGTATGACCGTTCCTTCGCAGATGCTTAAGACGTCTATAGAAAGCTGGATGGTTTGAGCGGTTTGGATCGCCGTTGGATCGGTGAACATGGTACGATCTTGTCATGAAGATGACGAACCTTTTTCGTGTTTGCTAGACTCCGCTAGACTCCCCAGGCCACCAAAAATCCATAAAAATCCTATTGAGGTCAGCTGACTGTCATTCGAGTATGCCGTTTTTGATCATGTTTGCCCCATTTGGGGAACCTGGAATCGCTTGAAAGATTAAAGCCAGAAGAGCTTGGCACTGGGCCTCTTGGGTCTTGTTTAGATTTGGTGTTGGCTTTCAAATTTGGAGGCTTCCAAGACAGGACACCTCAGATTTTGATAGATTTTGTGATTGTTCTGTGATCATAGGTTTATGTTCACCTCTCCCCTTAGTTCTAATGTTTTTTTAACTTGAAAAAAAGCAACAAAAAAAAAAGGGAAAACACATGGAAAATCAAAAAGCAAAACTTCAAAACCGAAAAAAACAGGAAGCAAAATAAATGGGAAAACAAAGGAACGTCAAAAAACGTGAAAAAATGGGGAAAAATGGACTTGTCCATTTGCATTTTTGTTGCTTTTTCGATTTGCTTTTTTTTTGCTTTTGTTTTGCTTTTATTTTGCATTTTTCCTTTTTCCCTGGAAAAAAGCAAAATAAAAGCAAAAAAAAGCAAACAAAAAGCAAATCGAAAAAAACAAAAAAAAAATGCAAATGGACAAGTCCATTTGTTTCCCATTTTTTCCCCTTTTTGTCTTTCCTTTTTTTCCCTTTTATTTTGCTTTTGTGTTTTTTGGATTTTGCTGATTTGCTTTTTGGTTTTTCCATTTTTTTTGCATTTTTCACGCTTTTTTTCAAGTTTTAAAAAAATAAGAATTAACGGTGGTTTGGTGAACTTAATCATAGGTCATTAATAACATTCATTATTCAGTAATATATTGATGAATGTTGTCTGCAACATTGGTATTGGTTGTATTTAATGGTATTGCATATTGGGTCTCAGAAACAGCCGATTCCAGATACACCAGGCATCGCCAGGCGCACTGGCTTGGTGGCGAAGCTGGAGAAATGCGGCTGAGGTGCAGTGGGGCGCTGCCATGTTTTCCTTTTTGTAAACGAAGAGTGTAGCTACAACACTACAGTTGACTCCAAGCACGGCACAAACTTTTATCATATTTTATATTTTATCAACGTTTATCGTGGTTCTTTACCGTTCGTTCTTGGCGTTGGTGATCTACAATGTTGCAACATGCAACAAACACATCTCGCTGCTGAAAAGATGATTAGGATGAGGCTGAGAAGCGGTGTCAGAATCTGACCCTCCAAAGACCTGGTTCAGTCATGTTTGGTCTCTGTCAAAGCCACCGGTGCTTCGAGCAGACAAGTCAGACAAGTCAGACAAGTCAGACAAGTCAGATGCATCAACAAAAACCAAGTGATGCCTGGTTGATCGGTAGGATTTGGGTTAGATCCGCAGAATTCTGCGCACCCATACAGAATCATACAGAATCAATCATGGCATCCCAAAGCATCCAAAAGCCACAACAAACAAGAGTTTTTCGTAGGTTTTACAATGTTTTACATATGTCTACCACATGTTTACATAATTTTACATATGTTTACCATATTTGACTATATTTGACTCGGGTTTGCGGCTCGGCACCATGTCTGACCGTCTTGACCCAGCAGTTCCAGTGAGTCGTGCAGCAGCGCTGCAGCTGGAGGGGTGCTGGGCGTCTGCCAGGCTACAGAGCATGACATTGGAAAAGCAGATGCTCGAGATGATCAAAAACCCTGTGGTAAAACGTCTCATGGAAGATGTGCAAAAGACCCGATATGAAGTTGGCTACTATCAAGATCGCATTCCTTACAAAAAAGATGAGAATGAAATGACCAGAAGCGAAATTGAAAGTTTGCGCAGTCAGAAGGCGATCTTGGAGACAGGTCGTATCGACACATCTCCAGAGATGGATTCTCCTTTGGATTCTCCATGTTTTCGTGTCTCGACTCGAGACATCGATGGAGGAGCTGCAGATTCAGGGTATCTTTCAGTGGTGAAAGGGACAGTCTTGGTGGCGATCAGCCTCGAAGAGGACTTTTTCTACGGCAACGAGTTGCATCGGCCCGGCAACTGCGGCTGGTTTCCCGTCTCGGCCACCAGAGACTTAAGCAGACCTTGGAACAGTTGAGACTTGAAAAAAGGGAAGCAAAAATGTGGACATGGCTGGAGCATGGAGAATTTCCGATTCTCAGTAGATACCAACAGGACCATAACCGATAAACACCGATAACCACGGATAACATCCAGCAGTGAAAACATCTGGGTTTCTTCTGATCCGGTCGATCATCGTCGCGTCGGTACAGTAGGCTCCCAACTGGGAT